AGCAATGGCTGTCCAATGTTCAGGAGGTAATACTATTGCCTCTCAAATGGCATTTTTTCTAAGATGCCTTTTGCAATTTGTTTTGGAATACTGTGCCGTGAACGCATGCCCTCGCGTAACATTGTTTGGTGTGGTTGCATTTGGCACCTGCCAAACACGACATGCCGTTCAAAATTTGCATTGCTTTACGGCTGCGGCACGACTGGCCGCTATGTTAAGTTTTAGGAGGGCGGTTGGGGAACGTTAAATCGCAAATCAATTGCATGCTCTGACCTCCCGTCGGCTGCCCGTGTAAACGAGGCCTTAAAGGAAAGATCTCTCTGATTGCTCGAGTTCAGCAGGGGAGGAATTTCATTAACTCAGAGGTGTGTCCTCCATACATTTAGGGTTGCCACCTGTCCAGGATTGACCCGGACAGTCCGGGTTTTGAATGCTGTGTCCAGGTTTCATGGCAGCAGAAACCCGGACATAAGATGTCAGGCAGACAGGGGCAACCAAATTTAAGATAGGGGCTACTGGCCCCCCACTGAAAATAGTCTCAACTGTTATAATTACATATGAATGTGCGGCGCTATTATCAAACGAATAAACCACAACTCATTCTCCCCCCCCCAAAAAAAATGTCAGCGCGTTGCTAGAGTGTTCGGGTTTTGCTTGAAGAAAAGGTGGCAACCCTACATACACTACATCAGGTTCCAACAAGTAATTGACGCATGGCATGTACTAATACATGATTAAAGTGACACTAAACTCAGGAGGTAAGTCTTAAAAATACATTCAAGCATCTCAACTATTAACAACATTGGGGGGAATTTATCAAAACTGGAGCAAACAGAATCTGGAGCAGTTGCCCATGGAAACCAATCAGCTTCTCTCTTCAGTTTGCTCGGGTAAGGTTTGAAAGAGAGAGAGATAAGCTGATTGGTTGCAGTGCAAATCTGCTCCAGATTTTGTCTGCTCCAGTTTTGATAAATTCCCCCCATTGTATCTAACTCTGGGAGTCATGCCTGTGGCCCTCAGTCTTGCAATGCCTCATGGGACTTGTAGTTCTACAGCAGCTGGAGTGCTGAGGTTGCCCATCCCTGCTTCATGAAATTGCTCCTACCCTCCCCTTCCCCAAAAGCAGATCTACAATACAAGGCAGCGTGGAATTGCTGCTCCTGACACCCATCTGTCGGGTTGCCGTAAGTTCTTTCTTTTCCTGCCGCCATTTTGACAATGTGGGTTTTCAGCACCTTTTACCTGGCTTTGGACCACGGCAGCTCCGTATAGAATCCGGCACGCTCCTCCTGTTGGTGAAATGGTTTCCGTTATGTAAGTTTTGGTTATTTTGTTTCTGCTTAACACAAGAAACACGTGAGCACGCCGCTAAGTTTTATAACCGTCATACTCTGTTTATATGGAAATTTCATAAAACAGTTTACTTGCCAAAATAGATGAGTCTGGTAAATATTACATCATTTGAAAGACTGCGGGGGTCGGTGGGGGTGCGTTTCCAGAGTTTCACACACAAATGTTTCTGTTCCTGTGAAAATGTTGCTGATAATAGATGAGAAGTAATAGAAATGTACCTATAGATATACACGTGTATATACAGTATATCTATACATACATCCAACCCTACGGAGGAGTGCTCTCAAAACCCTAACACTTCAATAGCATTCAGTCATAATAATAATACAGAAAAAAGCTTGACCTAAAAACAGGTTCTTTAAAAAAACAAACAAAAAAAAATAAAACCGCGGCCACAACGTATGGCTCTGTAAACATGTGTCCTTCACTTAAATAACATCCAGGGACGGGTGACACGGGCGCCTGTGGCAGGTAATGGGGCGTTCTGTTTGAAGAACGGTTCGGGAGGTTGCATTTTACAAAAGCGGAGTGCCAGTTTTGGGGGTGGGGGGGAGGGGAGTTCCTGGCGGTTCTGGCAGGAGAGGTGGGCTCTTTTCCTTTTATCGGCAGTTTGTTTCTACCATTTGTGCAGAGGAAGGACAAGGCCTCACCCTCCCGTGCAGGCTGTGGGCTCCAGTAAGTCAGAGGATGAAAGTTTTAGAAACCGCGTCCCAAGGCTTAAACTTCTATCAGTTCTATTGCCGTGTGTGGCCGTCGCTCGGACAGTCCGCTACTCCAGGGAGTCGCTCTGTTCTAAGCCCAGGTCACTGACGTTGGTTGTCTGAAGGTCTTCGCTGTCCTCCTCCAGGTCATCCTCTTCCATCTCCTCCTCTTCATCCTCCTCTTCTGTGCCATCCAAGGAGTCGTCGTGTGCGGCCATCATGGCTTGTTGCATGGACAAGGCGTCTGAGGACAAGGACTGCAGGTTGTCTATGTTCACAGAACCTGCAGGAGGACAATACAAGCTGATTTCAGTCTCCCACAATGAAAGAAATATCATCTCGTCATCATCAGTGTTAGTAAATATCGCTGAATCCCTAGAGATACATCGTGGCAGATATTCACTGGGGAGCTGTGTGAATCTGGCCTGTTCTCCCTCACCGCAGTCCTCAATGGCCACTAAGAAACAGCGACTGTCAGTTTCACCAAACATTCACTAGTGGTGGATCAATCACTGTCATTTGAACAACACATGCATGGGGAAGGTTCACCTGCAGTAAATGTCTGGTGAATGTCAGATTCACCACTTTATAAATATCCACGTAAGTGTTCAGCTGCACATGTGATTCTCGATAGGTGTGCTGTCCGCAGTGTACATGAACCCCAACAATGAACTTCTCTTATTTGCTCCCTTTAGTCTGTTGTATAGAAAGTGTTTTCTTTATCTGTGTGATAAGTGCAAAAAATACCTGTACATCCTACCAGAAATCCAGGACTGTCCTCTGCCCTGTTATCTCAAGCTGTGCTGCCAGGCCTGTCCTAATTACCTCTGCGAACTACAAAATACCCCCCTCTCCGTCTCTCCATAACATCATATAAATACAGTACAATGAATGAGGAGAGGAAGTGTGTTACTGGCAGGATCATCAGGTGAGAATAAAAGAAAACTAATACCGTCACCACATCTACGGACTGGCGAACTGCAACATGTTACAGCTTATTTTTCTTCCAGGGTTTAGATATACTTTCGGTACTCCTGATGAATACGGGGGCTGCCATTGTTGATCTGCTTTTGAAAATACTAGATTCCTGGCTGTGTGTACTTTTATTACTGAATTAGTGTCATATACAGTGTATATATATATTCATTCTCTCTCTCTCTCTCTCTCTCTCT